TACCCACGTACGCACATTGCTCCATTCAGCTGCCAGGAGCAAATGGAAACTTTTGAGTCACCAGAGTCATAGATTACACTAGGGATGCACAGATACTTTTCAGATACCAATGCCGATACTTGGCATTTTCATGAGAACTACCAGGGTTACGGCAGTTGCAGCTGGGACCTGGCTCTGGCGCTCCACCACTGTCCTGAAATCATTAGTTGATATTGTTTTTGAAAAACTCATTGTCACATGACAATAAACAAAAATGTATCAGTACTTGTATCTGTGAGTACTTGGGCAAGTATCCGTACTTGTAAAACTGGTATCGGTGCACCACTTATATTTATAAAAACAAAATCATACATTAAAAGGAGAAGTCACGCAGCTGGGCGGATCTCCACATCGATGTCAGGATCCGCTGCGGCGTAACGTGAGGACGCTAGTTTGTGTCCTCCCGTTACCCTAAGGAGAACTATGGGGGAAAACACTGACCCCATAGTTCTCCTTTAAAACAGAGATGTACAAATTCCAGGAGCTCCGTGTGCTCCTTACAAATTAAAGCTGCCTCCTAACTTTTGCATTTTTCTCTAGTCTAGGAGCTGGAGTGTGGTACTTGGTATCGGTGCTTCCCTAGATTACACAGTAATGGACTCCCAGTGTTAAAAGCGCCGATCAGCCTGGCGCCATCAAATGGCCAACTTACATGCTCCGCCATATCCTTCAGTTCCAGGTGCTGAAAGAAGCACAGTGAGAGGGGGGATAAGCAAACCGGATACTTTGCCCCGAATGGCAAAGACACAGGTCTGCATTAAAAGGCAGCTTTACATTTAGCGAAGTCGTCCTTTAAAGCTTCCACCCACCCCGCTTCCACCTATATCTTAACCGTAGCTCTGCTCCCGAAATCCTTACTGTACAGTCCTGCCCAGGGCTGCACAGCCTCTGCGCAAAAAAAACCTGGTGCCATTCAGCTCTTACATGCCCCCAGTCCCATTCATTCCTATGGCTGGGTCTGCACACCTCTAGATGGCTGAGGCACGCATGAGTTGCAAGCATGTGCAGCAGGAGCTGGGACCATATTGTGCAAAGGCTGTGTGGCACCAGGCAAGGCAGGGCAATAAAGATTTCAGGAACAGGGCTGAAGGTAAGTATTTAAGTTATACCTTCCACTAAAGGTGGATGTTGTCCTTTAAAGCTTGGACTTCTGTCTGGGCAGCAATGGCTAAAATGTCTGAGTTTGTAGGGAACAACAAACAGAAAAGAGAAAGCCTCTGTAGGCACACGGTTTCATTCACACAGCTTGTGCTGAACATTCTTGCTAGCAATCCAGGTCAACTGACATCTTCTACTCTATGACAGATTGAAGCCATAGATTGTAAACTCTTACTTGCTGGGCCCTCCTATCCCTCATTCTGAAATGTATAATAACAGTATAATCTTCAATTATATTGTAAAGCACTGGGCAAACTATTACATCCTGTATAATAATAATCAGCAATCACTCAGGTATTACCTACCATTTTCTCTCCAATTCTTATACATCGGGCCCGCTGCCATTTATACCAGTGTCCACTGGAAGGTTTACTTGTTTCTTTAACAAAAAAAAAAAGAAAAAAACCCCCACAAAACAAAGCAAATTATTTTAAAACAGCAGTGATCTGGAACTCGAGAGGCTTTGTATTGCTTTTCCATCTTGTTTAATTAAAAAAGAGCAGTCAATTCTATCAGTAATTGTTTTCCTTACACAAGAATTCAATTATCCCCCCGATTTTACTTGTTTGTATCCTGTCAAAAATGAACGTCTGGTAAAATAATGAGTTTGTATATAACAGCCTTAACAGTAACACACATCATTCCGCATGTCTAATGATGCTACAACATGAAGGACTCTGCAACGACAAAGAAATACAAAACAGAAAAAAAAAAAAAAGACTAATTACTTCTATTAATTATTTTTTGGATGACATGTTATGGATTGAGCACCCTGTCATGTACACAACTAGCTCTGTAAAGTGGAAGCAATGTACAATCATCTTGTAAAGCATAGCTACTCTACATGACATGACAACAGTCATGGGAAAATATTTGGGCTGATGCTGCTGACCTCTTCTGGAAATAGTTGTTGTCTGGCTGTCAGTTTGATGCTTCAGTTGTAATACCCTATCAGATCCAGCGCAAATATAGAAATCAGCAATCTGGACTTTCACAGGAAGCTTGATACTGGCACTATTAGATAGTATAGTATTAGGATAGGTACTGAATAGAAGGCCTGGCCATATGGAGTACTCTTGGTATTTGTCGGTGACGTTTCAGTGGCGTCAGAGGAGCAGCAAAAACCTTGACACAATGGAGGATGTCCAAAAGGTGGGAGATGGGTTTGTGTTTAACATGGGCTTTTAAGAGCTTACATTTAAGGGCCCCTTTACACCCATCTAGTAATTCAAAGCCCAATTCTAAGGAAAAAAAGGTTTTCCCTACTACTTGTTTATGCCTAGGGAACAGATTTTACTCACCTGACTCCTGCGCTTCCCCAGGCTCCCTTTGGGCTGCTAGACTGGTACCCGTAGCTTCTTCTCTACTTTGCTCTGGCGGTCAAGGGACCCCTAACATCATCAAGTACAATGCAGACTGCATAGACCTGCATTACAGTATATGGGAGATCACAGAGGGAGAGTCCACAAGCTGGAGCATAGAGGCGACCACCAATCACTGGGGGGAGCAGGGAGCAAGTGAAACACTTGAAATTAGCAATTTAGCCTTGCAGTGCGGCGTCACCCCCTCTGCATGGAAAACTTTCTACTTCCCTGGAATTGGGCTTTACGGGCCCATTTACACCTATCCATTGATTTACGGGCCCATTTACACCTATCCATTGATTTAAGGGCCTATTTACACCTATCCATTGATTTAAGGGCCTATTTACAAGTATCTATTATAGCACATATTACTTCAACACACAGTATTACTCCAAATGCACCCAAGTACATTGCATTGCCTTTAATATTTAATGGCGCACCCCAAAACACTATGGTAGCGCTTCCCTAATGCACAGCCATTGCAGCACACCACAACACTAATGCACTACCGAGCGTTGTGTTTCGCTGCTTCAGAAAAAATGACATCCATCAGGTTTTTGGTCCATTTTGAGGCATTGGAACAATGGGCCGCCTTAAGACCCCATTCACACTGAGCGTTGTAGCACGATTTTCGCTCAAAAATCACTCACATATGAAGTTCAATGTAGCTCGACCAATGCATTTCAATGGAGATGTTCACATCTTGCAGGTCAATGTCTCCTGAAGCTTGTCGCTCGAATATGAAGTATTTTTCGGCAGATTTCAAGCGATTTGGCCCCAATAGACTTTGATAGGCTGCCAAAAGAAGCGCTACGTAGTGCGACAGAATGTGCACTGTAGCTCAAAGTCGATCAGCTCAAATCAGCACTGAAAAAGCTTACTTTGTTGTAGCTCAGAGTGAATGGGGTCTAACATACATTAATGCACCACAATGGACCACCTAGGTGTGAATAGACCCTAAAAGGACAACTTCAATGTTGGTATGGATATGCTGTACCCCATTGGGCGGCTGGAGTCTGTGATAAATATGTCTCAGTCATAGGAAGGAATGGGGCAGTGGCACATGTGCACAGTAGGTATGGCATCCGGCCAGGATGTTATCCTTGAAAAGACTGAGCAGTGTCAGGCAGGAGCACACAGGGAAGATGGCGGCAGAGGGGAGGAAGGGAATTATCCAATTTAACATTTTCCTGGCATATAGATATCTGGTGATGGTGGAAAAGTAACTCCAAATGTACTGACACTCCGCTATAGAAGTACCTGCATGCATAGTGCAGTAACCCATAGCAACCGGACTTTCATCTACTGCACGCAGTCAGTGGTGTCACACTGTTTACTTTTTTTTTTAAACTTTATTGGCAGTGTACAAAATGTGCACTCCATTCAAGTCTTCATGCAGCCATATGGTGTGTTACGCTACTATGTGGTGACCCGCAGTGCCATCCAGGGTGCTGCAGAACAATGCAGAATGTCTGTATTTATTTTCTGCACATCACCAGCATTGTGGTATAAATGGGGCATTGTGCTCTCTGTGCCCTTGCAGTCACTGGGGTTTATGCACTGCAGAAAAACGCCAGTCACTGTAAGTGCATGATTAGGCCTCATTCGCATAGCTTAAAGTCAGGCCATACAGATCTGTGTGGTGTGCATGGCTGTATCTGCCGTTCCCGTCTATGTATGTTATGTGTATTTAGCAGTTTGCCTGGAGCTCAGCATTAAGTAGCAGCTGCGGCACTGCAGAAGTTACCACACCACCCTCCTAGTTATCATTATTACATAGTATTTATATAGCGCCAACAGTTTGCGCAGCGCTTTACAATATAAGGAAGACATTACAGTTATAATACAATTCAAGACAAGATGGTAAGGAGTTGCATTTATCTACAGATTAAACACACATGACCCATTTCACCAGATGAGCAC